ATTTAGTAGTACTTTCAGATCCGAAAATTTTTTGCTCTTGCTCCAGCCTACAGAATGTCTCATGTTGGTGGAATACTGCAGAAGTTCGAACAACAGTATGAACTAGTTAACGTTAGCTCTGAAACCTCGTGATCTCACCAGTTTCGTTATATCCCAATAATAATGAGTTTTAACAACTTTTTCTTTTCAGCATCTCTATCAAACGCTTGGAGACAGAGGAATTTTCTTTTACGACTATACAAGACCGTTAGCGCATACCCTCTGTAACATGTACCTCACCAACCCTATATGCATCGATATTCTCATTTTTATAAATGGACCGAAAAGTGATCAATTCAACGCAGTGAGTAAAACTCATTGAAGTTTTAAATAGAAAAATATGATCTTGTTTTCAGACAAGAGCAGGGATATATCTATCCCATAGTCCAGCGGGTACCTCAACGAGAAATATGCGTCATTACGCTCAAATGGTTCGCACCAATCGGATGGCCTCATTTGATCATGGTGTAGAGGAAAATCTTCGTTGTTACGGAACGGTAAACCCTTACAGCATTTGTGCAAATTCGTTATTGATAAACTAACAGTTGTATTTAGTAAAAAGAGTTCACGCTTTCAAGGAATAACCATGTATGAAATAGCTGATTTAGTATTCGCCACCCGAATACGATGTTAGCAGAGTTCATTCGGATATATATGTTTTTTATTCGGATCACGATTGGGTGGTATCTGCTGAAGATGTGGAACAAAATTTGCTACCATCACTTCCATCCACTTCTGTAAAGCTTATTAGGTATTCAATTTTTACATATATCTTTTAAATATCCTACTTTTCAGGCATTACGGCCATTTTTGTACTAGTTATGTCACTTACTTTTTATTTTTTTTGGCCCAAGTTATCTAGAGGCAAAATCCCACTTGATTAGTTTATTCTATAGTCGAAAGTCTATTGGCAGCCTAGCGCGTTCCACTTCAAAAGATGAGAGATCGAGAAACAATTAATGAGCTAAATGGACAGCTTTGAGAGGGAGGAAGG